TCCTGCAAGTGGTCCCAGCTTTTATCCCCAAGCAGGACGCAATAACACAACCACAGCGAGGAACAAAACCAACAATCCAGCTTCTATCAAAGATAGCAACCATCCTGACAGTCCCCTACTTAGCTCTATATAGTTAGCATTATTACACTTAACACACAACAGGCTATAAATCTTATTCAAATACAGTTCCTAATTACTACCATATGAAATGATATATTTCTGGCAATATTTACAATGGATAATGATATACAAACAACGAACTGGGCACAGGCTAGTGCTCACTGTGGTCTGGTTTCAGCTTGCTATGGTTGACTGATCAGGTTGTCCCCCAGCAATATTGGGTTTTGTCCATGGTTTTACCCACTTTGCTGATATCCACCTGGTACCTTTATCTGTAACAACACAAGCATACCCTCTTCCCCACGTTATTAAATGTTCCAGCCCTTCCAGCTTTTTGTAATTTTTCATGTGATGTTAACCCAGTTTCTCCCCCTTTTTGTTTTAAACGTTGACGTTTAAGGGTTTGATTCATGCGCTCCACGGTCGCTTGTCTGGTGGGTGAGTGAGGAATGCCTGTAACATGCCGTTATACCCCATTGTTGAAAAAATTTCACCATAGATTTACTAACATATCCTGGCCCGTTGTCTGTTTTAATGCTGCTTGTTAGCTAATATATTGAAGCAATTCACACATGCTTACAGCCTGCGAGCTGGCTGCCAGGTCATCCTGACCGTGCAGCTGTTAATTTTCTCATGAGATTGTTGCAGTTAAGCCTTGCTGGTTTTGCTTTCAGTTTCTAGCTTGTCTACTAACAACTCTACTTGTTTTTGCCTAAGTTCCTTAGTTAGGCGCTTCGAACATTCTTATCAGCAGCTTCCCACGGTACCAGGGCCTTCAGATATTGTGTGCTGCCCGACAGCTGCCTCAGTCCCTTCAGCTTTGCCTCTCTGCCACCAGCCAGCACCCAGCCCATCTCGCTACCACAGCCTCCACTGTGAGGCTGAGAGCCTTCTCTGCCATGACCAGGGACATTACCAGCGTGCCCCAGGGCCAGTGCTGGTGGAGCCCAGCCTGAAGCTGCCAGCGGGACAGTCCTAGTGCTGGGGACACCT